CTTCTTTCATAGTGGGCAACGGGGCTTCTAGCCTGAATTCTTGACTTTTCAGGAAAATTTCCAATGACCTAACAAGCTTGACTTTTTGTTCTCCATGGAAGCAGAGAGAAAGAGATCAGAGATAGAGATTTCATGGGATTTGTAGGCACGTCTAAAGGCAGAGGGACTGGTTTGGTGAGGGCAAGAGGGGGGAGGATTCCCTATGTAGATTTCAATGAGCTCATATTGTAGCAAGATAAGGATGAATTTTAGAGAGAGAAGATTCAATGTGTAGATATGGGTAGGCACAATTGGGAGCAGGAGAGTTTTTGGGTTATGACGAGATAAAAGATTTAACTGTAGAACGTGAGATAGAAAAGTTTTAATAAAAGAGCTAAAACCACTCCAGGAGTGAAAAATAAGTAGTTTCTACAGTAGAGAGAAAGTGTAAAAGATCAGTCTAGGAGAGAGATATTGGATACAGAAGACCCATTCATAGAGAGTCGTGGGGTAGACAATAGTTTCTATGTGTGTGTGAGAGAGAGAGATGGACCTGGGTTCGTTTGGGTAAGTTACAGTGCTAGTTCAGTGCTAGTTCAAGAGATGATAGTTGCAGCGCTGGTTCAACTATAATAGAGTGGGCGATTGAGATTGGAGTCCTATGTAACCCGTATGTGTGAGGGTCTCATAAAATCATTGTTCATATGAAAAATATATTTCTCTTTTCTTTCTTTTCCATAAATTTCTTACTCACGTTTTATTTGAAAACTCAAATCTATTTAATTGAAAAACTTTCCTTTTCAATTCAAATCTCTTAGATGGCACATAACATGCCCCATAAAATAGGAAAGTATATCAAAATGTGTGGGGCGTGCCTCTCATGGGGCCACAAGTGGGCCTCACACACTACCTACATGCAATTAATCTAGTAGGCCCCGTGGAGTATAATGCTCCCCATGTGTATTATTAATTTTAAAATAGATAACATTGTTTTTAAAAAACGATTGCTATTTTATTTTTCTCTCTAATTTATTAATTACTGAAAATTCAATTTTATCCATTTATAAATCTATTTTTTTTTAAAAAAAAATACCTAGAGACTTCTAAAAGTTTATTTTATTAATCTAAAATTTATTTAAGAGCAAATTAATTTAGATTTGGATCCAACTATGTTAAGGAATATTAAAATTACTAAAGCACTCAATCTTCTACTAGAGACTATAATCCACACCACTTCATCAAACTGATCCAATAATTCACATGACCAACAGTCAATCACAGAGATTCATGATTGGGCTACCAAAGTTAGCCAATAGGTGAGGGGACACAATCTTAGTCTATGGATTATGATTCCCCTTACGAACAAGTCTAAGGTCATACAGACCTTTGTACACTCAACTCATATGGTGCATATGGGGGTCATCTCTTGCACAAGTGTGTGTGTGTGTGTGTATATATATATATATATATATCACCCTCAATGGTGATTTGCTTCCCAATACAGTTATCATGTGTACATGCCGTGTGAGGGTATAAGATGAGGTTTTGGTCTTTGTCCCTTCAGGCCCACCAATCACACACAAGAGTCACATAATCCGATTGGCTCACTACCCTGAGCAACTCCGACCTCATCAAGGGATAACCCTGCTAACCCTTATCGGTTGTACTCTATGCCTAGGTATTTAGGGTTTTGGAACTCGATTGGCCTAACTTTTTAAGCTTAGTTTGAGTCTCGACAAATAATATTTGCCAATCTCGATCCCTCTTAACCATACTTCTACTGAAGTTTAGTGTTCCACTGTAGTAAATTTGGTTACATACTCTCATCAGGCCTTTAAATGATCACAAAACCCAACATAATTCGCACGAGATAGATGACTTAGATTGAGCCGCAACTTGATCAGGGCCTTTACCATGGTGTTTTCCTCTAATTTTTTTCCCTAATTTTTTTAAAGTCTATCTTTCTAATTTTAAGTGATTCTTAGTTGGCATTTTTCTTTCATATGTAATTTGACGGAACTCATAATCAACTGTTGATCGATGAGTTTACAAAAGCAACATGGAGGATGTTGCATTCTCTACCGGAATTTTGACTATAAGCATGGATATCCGACTATTTCTATCGAATAGTGCTTTGCAGTCATCTATGATTCTAAGCAACCAAAATCCCTCAAATTATTGACTGACTCTAGGTCTTGAAACCTATAAAATATTGAACCCCCACCTGATTCCATTAAAATCCAAATCTCCAGCTCCAACCAAGTTCAACAAGATCAAGGAGAGGTCGAGTCTTAATCCTTGAATCGAATTTAGCCCCCGGATTTGGGTGCCAAGCCTGTGGTGACTTCAACCGTTATTTTATTTTTTATTTTATTTATATTTCTTCCATCTTTCATAAATTCACGTATTTCGTTGTTTTTTTTGTTAGATCAATGAGGAATGGGTCTTTTGCGTGTAGTAAGAATGAAACTCAAGATGTCATGTTGTGTTACCCACCACCCTGATCGCTTATAGCTTGAGTTCATTCCTACATATTTTATTACTAGAGTTGCTATATTTGCAATATTTTCTATAAGTTCTAAGGTTTTAAGCAACTTCTAAGTAAAATTCTGATATTGTTAAAAAAGAAATGAAACTTTGATGTTAGTTTAAATACAATCATTGAAGGGAGGTCACAACTTTCCTCACCCGATTTTGGGTATAAATATCCCCATTCTTGCTGAGGACCACCTCCTATACGTAGGCCATCTTCCTTTTTCGGAGCACACATCCTATCCCATTGCACAATATTTATTTTATTTGTACATTCGGGATCTCCTTGCAAGAATATTCCAATGACCTTTTTAAAGTTTGAACTTTAAAAAAAAGAAAAAGAAAAAAAAACTACCCGTGTGTCTTTGAACCATGGGAAAGCAAATATCCAATTATTTCATTATGATACCCAAATCTTATTATTAAATTATTTTTTAAAATTTTTTTCAATGTTAAACTTGAAAACTGGGGAGCAGTGGAACTCTAGATATCAGGATCTAGCACCCTTCCACCCTATCCAACTAGGCCCAGGGGCCATTCCTCCGAAACCCTCTTAGCTACAGTTGGTTCAAATGACTCTTAGGCCAATTATATCCTCCAAAAATTTTATGGAAATGTATATAATGAGACTTTTTACTTTCGATACAAAAAAGTTACAATTATCATTAACCATTTGATATGAAATCAGGTAGTTGGGAATGCGTCACTTAGTAGGCACAAAGCCCAAAATCAATGCTTTTGAAAATTGTGATGCATTTCAATGCGTCGAATTTTACATCTAATGGCTATGACTTATTTTGACCTTCCTATACCAAGTAAGCGATCTTTATTTCCACTAATTGGACATTCAAGATGAACTTTATCCAAAAAAAGCTACAGTTTTTGTAGAGGCCACCATTTGGTGCTTTAGGCCTCCAAATTTTCTTAACCTTCATTTATTTCATGATTTAGCGCAATTATCCTATTGTATTGTAGGGTTGTAAGATAATACAGTGTAATTTTTTCTATCTTTTATTAATAAAAAACAGGTAAAGGGCTTTCTCCAATATATCCAAAAATATATATATATATATATCTATATATATATATATATATATATATATA